TTTCAAAGAACCAGCTACTGGATTCATTGATCCTTAGAATTGTGCTTTTAGTCTCTATGTCATTTAATTCTGCTCTGATCTTGGTTATTTCCTTCCTTCTGCTTGCTCTGAGCTGTCTTTGTTGTTTTTCCTTGAGCTCTTGTACACATAGGGTTAGGCTGTTTGTTTGAAATGTTTCTATCTTTTTTAGGTAGGCCTGTATTGCTATGAACTTCTCTCTCAGGACTGTTTTGGCTGTGTCCCATAACTTTTGGTTTGTTGTGAGTTCATTTTCATTTGTTTCCAGAAACTTTTTGATTTCTTCCCTTATTTCATTCTTGACCCATTCATGGCTTAATAGCATGCTATTCAATCTCCATGATTTTGAGTGTTTTGGGTTTCTTCCCTTGGGGTTGGTTTCTAGTTTCTGTCCCTTGTGGCCAGAGAAAATGCTTGGTATAATTTCAATTTTCTTAAATTTGTTGAGGCTTGCTTTGTGTCCTATCATGTGGTCTGTCTTTGAAAATGTTCCATGTGCATTAGAAAAGAATGTATTTTGCTTCTTTGCGATAAAGGGCTCTATATATATCAGTTAAGTCCATTTCATCTAGGGCATTGTTCATTGCAACAATATCTTTGTTGATGTTTTGTTTGGAAGATCTGTCCATTTTTGACAGTGAGGTGTTAAAATCCCCTACTATAATTGTGTTGCTGTCAATATCTTTCTTAAACTCCTCTAAGATTTTCTTTATGTATTTAGGTGCTCCTATGTTGGGTGCATATATATTTACAATGTTTATGTCTTCTTGGTGGATTCTTCCCTTGAGTATTATGAAGTGACCTTCTGGGTCTCTCTTTTTGGCCCTTTTCTGGAAGTCTATTTTGTCTGATATCAGTATTGCTACGCCAGATTTTTTTTTTCCTGTCCATTTGCTTGGAAAATTTGTTTACAGCCCTTCACTTTTAGTCTGTGTAGATCTTTTGTCCTGAGGAGGGTCTCTTGTAGGCAACATATGTGTGGGTCATGCTTTCTTATCCATTCAGCTATTCTATGTCTTTTGATTGGAGCATTTAATTCATTTATTTTTAAGGTTATTACTGATAGGTACTTATTCATTGCCATTTTTGTACCTGTGTTTCTCTCTCTCTCTCCCTTCTTTTCCTTAAAGCAGTCCCTTTAGCATCTCTTGCTGAGCTGGTTTGGTGGAGATGTATTCTTTTAGACTTCTTTTGTCTTGGAAGCTTCTTATTTGGCCTTCTATCTTGTTTGAGAGCCTTGCTGGGTAAAGTAGCCTTGGTTGCAGACCTCTGGTTCTCATTACTTGGAATATTTCTTGCCATTCTTTTCTGGCTTGGAGTGTTTCCATTGAGAAGTGAGCTGCTAACCTTACTGGGGCTCCCTTGTATGTTACTTCCTGTTTCTCCCTTGCTGCTTTTAAGATTCTCTCTTTGTCTTGGTATTTTGCCATTTTAATTATGATATGTCTTGAAGTGGCCCTCTTTGGGTTCCTCTTGATTGGAACTCTCTGTGTTTCCTGGATTTGTGTGACTCTTTCTCTCATCAAATTAGGGAAGTTTTCCATCATTACTTTTCCAAATAGGTTTTCTATCCCTTGCTCTTCTTCTTCTCCTTCTGGTATCCCTATTATATGGATATTATTACGTTTCATATTGTCTTGCATTTCTCTTAACCCGTCTTCATTCTTTCTGAGGCTCTTTTCCTTTTCTTGTTCTTTCTGGGTGTTTTCTTCTACTTTTTCCTCTAGCTCGCTGATCCCGTCTTCTGCTTCATTGATCCTGCTTTTCATTCCTTCTACTGTGTTCTTCAGTTCAGAAATTGTATTCTTCATTTCATCTTGGCCCTTCTTGATAGTTTCTATTTCCTTTTTGATGTTGATATAGTTTTCAGTGAGTTCATTGTAGCTTCCCTGTGGTTTCTGGTAGCTCATTGCGAGGTCATTGAGCTTCCTGACAATCATTGCTTTGAACTCAATATCTGATAGTTGAGTTGCCTCTATTTTATTTAGCATTTTTTCTGAGGCTTCCTCCTTTCCTTTCATCTGGGGATTGTTTTTTTGTCCCCCATTGTTCGTGAGACTCTTCTTGTTAGCCTCAGCTTCTTAAATTGATCTGTTCTGGCTCCCTGTGTTTGTGGTATGAACTTCTGTGGTAGAATACCAGTGAGTTTCAGTGGTGCAATTTCCTTGATCTCCCAAACTCACCGGTCTTGGGCTGTCATTTAAGTTGGTTCTGTATTTGTCTTTGGGTTTTGATTGTTGTTGGGTCTTTCTTTGGTGGTTCCTTCCCACTAGCTGGTTAAATGAGGGTCACTCTGTCCACCACCTCTTGTATTTTGTTGTGCTCATGAGGGAAGGTTGTGTTGAAGGTTGTGTTGAAGGTTCTTCCGTGTGTATAAGGTTTTGAGGATTCTCTCTTGCTCTTGTTCAGCTGTTTGAATTGGGTACTGTCTCTACTGTTTAGTTGTATTTCCAGATAGGTCCTAGATTGAGGTTTGTGTGGTTTCCACTCCCTCCTTCACCTTCTTCTGTTGTTATCTGTTAGTGGTTCCTTTATTGTTTGGTTTCCTCTTCCAATGGGGATCCTGGTGTTCACCACTTCCACCTACTCTTTTTTTGTGATCATTTGGAGGGGGAAGGCAAAATGGTTTAAGACAGCAAGAGAGTATTCTATGATTTTTACAGTAGCAGCCAGTAGAGAAGAGATAGGAGATCCTTTGACTATGTATGGTGTTAACCATGATCTTCCACCTAGCTAGCTGATTTTTAGAAAGGATGGAAAGAAGATAAGACTCTTGTTGTGGAAGGAAGGATTATGAGTTGGATCTATAAAGCAGTGAGGTTGTGTGAGGTCAGATTCTGAGGTAAGGTGAGAGTAAAGGATAGTAAATAGGTGTAGTGTATGAGAGAATAGAGTTAACCACTACAGTAATAGAATTCAGGAAACTTTGAAATGGGCTAAGATCTGGGAGGGTTGTTGTGAAGTAATTACAATTGCATGGAACAGCAATTATTTACAGTAATATTAGGGCAACAATCATATGACAGAATCTATGAGATCTAGGTAACAATAATGGGGAGTATAGAACCTTGAGTGGTGTGCTAATGGGACACAGGTGAGTTAAAGGACAGTATATTAGCAATACACTATGAAAGAGATATCAGGGGAAACCTGTCAGGTCATACAATATAACCAGCCTAGCAAAGCAGACTATACAAAAAGAAGAGGGATACAAAAATACTATTTAACAAAAGATGTAAGAATACTGGAAAAATAATAATAGAAATATGCAATAACTTGCAGGTTCTCTGTAATAGCAGAGTGAAATTTTTCTCACTGTCTTAGCTGTTGTGACGCCCCTTCTTTGGGTTCAACTCTGGTCTTTTCCCAGATCCAGGATTTTGTCTCACTTGTAGGTATTAAAAAATAAAATAAAATAAAAAAGGCAGACAAAGGAAGGAAGAAGAGAGAAAATTGGAGGAAAGAAAGGAGGGGGGAATAAAACAAGAAAGCAAGAAAGAGGAAAAAGAAATTAAGAGAGAATAAAAATAGTAAAAAGTAAAAAATTAAGAATTGCTAAAAAAATAGAATAAAATTAAAAAGTCTCTTGGTTTCAAAGTGGCCAAACTGGTTTTTGTGGTCTTGCTGGCTGCGGCAGGCTGAGGGGTGATTGGTATGGCTTTTCTTCCTCTGTCAGTGGCATGCACTGTCTGGGAAGCTATTGTGGCTCCTCAGCCCTATGCCCTGGGTGTGGGAATCAGGCCTTTCCCCAGAGTTACTTCTGTGGACTGGGTGCAGGGATGCTCTCCCACTTGTGCACACCTGCACGCCCTTGGCCAGACTGCCTCACCCTTCCCGGTGCTATGGGGGTGTGCAGGGTCCTCCACAGAAGCACACCTTCCATGCAACCTCGGGATCGCTGCCTGGCTGGGTAGCAGGGAAGCTGGAGTGATTGATTACTTTAGGAGAATTCCACAGTGTCTGTCTTGTCACTCCTTCCTCTTGAGAAATTCCCCCTATTCGAGCCTGCCGCTCCATACAATGGCCTGGCTTCTCCCGCAGCCCAACTCTCCAGCCAGACCGGGGACCATGGGGATCAGGGTCTGCTGCGCGACCCAACCCCACCGGTGTCCACAGCCTCCAAGGGTGCTCACAGCCCTTGTGTGTTTGCTAGCAACTGGGTTCCTCCCAGTGCCACTCAGACCTTGTTTGGCTGGGGAGGGAGCAGTTGTCCCAGCTCTCTCCCAGGGACTCTGTGGCAAACCCAGCAGCGGGTGCTGGGCCTGGGGCTGCAGCCCTCGGACCCCGAGTTGGTCCCTGGGACCCTACCGTGTTGCAGCACTCCTCTCAGGGTCTGGTTTTTTGGTTCCGCCACAATCCTTGGTCCCCTATTTTCACATATGCTGAAGTATGTTGGTTGCTTCCTCCTCTACTCCATAGGCCAGGATTTTCTCCTGTGTGCAGAGGAAAGCTGAACCTGCTCCCTCCTACTCTGATACCATCTTCCTTCTCCAAATCATTCTTGTTATATTCGCCATCATCTTGTTTTTGTTTATCTTCCCGTCCCCCATTCCAGTTATTTAAATTTTCTGCTTTCTCTCCTTCTTTTTTAGTTGCAACACTTTCTGAGCTTGATAGGTTTAGTGACACCCATTTTTCACCTCTCCCAAAGGGTGAAATGCAAAAGATTTTTATTGTAAAATTTGTTTAAAATACTTGAAACTATCTGAAAATTTTAAAAAAATTTTTAATGTCTTTTGAAATAATTCAATACAGATGGAGATGTATCAAAAGGAGGGGGTTGTGTATACCAGCATTGAAGGTCTTGGTAGATCTCAAGCAGAGTAAATAAGTTTGTCTTTAGTTAGTACCATTACAGCCCCAGAGAAGATTGAAGTCTAATTTGGAGGTAACCTAACACATTTTTTTCTGAGGATGATAACTGACTAAATTATCAACCTTGTACTTTCATAGTATGATGATCACTTTTAATAAGAATTCTAGTGCTCTCTCTGGCAGCACATATATTAAAATTGGAAAGGTACAGAGAAATTAGCATGGCCTCTGTGCAAGGATGGCATGCAAATTTGTGAAGTGTCCCCTATTTAAAAAAAAAAAAAGGTCAATGAATCTAAGAGCTGGTTCTTTGAAAAGATAAATAAGATTGACAACCTTTTAATCAGGCTCATCAAGAAAAAGAGAGAAAGGACCCCAAACAAATAAAATCAGAAATGAAAGAGGAGAAATTACAATGGACACCAAAGAAATACAAAGGATTATAAGAAAATTATGAGTAATTATATGCCAACAAACTGGACAACCTGGACAAAGTGGATAAGTTCCTAGAAACATACAATCTTCTAAAAATAAGTCAGGAAGAATCAGAGAATCTGAATTGGACAGATTACACCTAATGAAATTGAAGTAATAATGAAAAAACTCCCAACAAACAAATGCCCTGGACTAGATGGCTTCACAGGTGAATTTTACCAAATATTTTACCAAATATAGAAGAACTAATACCTCTCCATCTCAAACTATTTCATAAAATTCAAGAGGAGGGAAACCTCCCAAACTCATTTTACGAGGCCAGCATTATACAAATTCCAAAACCAGATAAAGGCACTACAAAGAAAGAAAATTTCACAATACCCTTGGTAAAAATAGATGTTAAAATCCTCAAAAAAAAATATTAGCAAACCAAATACAACAATGCATCAAAAAGATCATACACCATGATCAAGTGGGATCTATTCCAGGACTGCAAGGTTTGTACAACATTCACAAATCATTAAATGTGATTGACTACATAAGCAAAATGAAAGATGAAAACCACATGATCATATCAATGAATGCAAAAAAGGCTTTTGATAAAATCTAGCAAACATTTATGATCAAAACTCTCAGCAAAGTGGGAATAGAGGGAACTTGCCTAAACATAATAAAGGCCATGTATGACAAACCCACTGCCAGCATGACACTCAATGGGGAAAAGCTACAAGTGTTCCCTTTAAGATAGGGAACAAGACAGGGATGTCCGCTTTCACCTCTTTTATTCAACATAATACTGGATGTCCTAGCCACAGCAATCCGACAACAAGAAAAAATAAAAAACATCCAAATTGGAAAGGAAGAAGTAAAACTGTCTTTATTTGCACATGACACAATACTGTACATAGATAACCCGAAAGATTCCACCAAGAAACTACTAGAACTGATAAATTAAGCAAAGTAGCAGGATACAAAATTAATATCCAGAAATCAGTTGCATTTTTACATGCCAATAACAAACTAACAGAAAGGGAAATTTAAAAAACCATCCCATTCACAATTGCTTCAAAAAGAAAATACCTAAGAATAAATCTAACTAAGGATGTAAAATACCTTATAGGGAAAATTATAAGACTCCAAAGAAATAAATTGAAGAAAATACAAATAAATGGAAGCACATGCCATGTTTATGGATAGGAAGAATAAACATCATTTTTTTTAAGATTTATTTATTTATTTTTAGAGAGAAGGGAGAGAGAGAGAGAGAAACATCAATGTGCGGTTGCTGGGAGCCATGGCCTGCAACCCAGGCATGTGCCCTGACTGGGAATCGAACCTGTGATGCTTTGGTTCGCAGCCCGCACTCAATCCACTGAGCTACGCCAGCTGGGGAAGAATAAACATCATTAAAATGTTCATACTATCCAGAGCAATCTATAGATTTAAAGTGACTCCTATCAAGATTCCAATGATATATTTCATAGAACTAGAACAAATATTTCAAAAATTAATATGGAACTACAAAAGGCCTCACATAGTGACAGTGATCCTGAGAAAGGAGGACAAAATTGGAGGAATCATGCTACCTAATATCAAACTATACTACAAGGTCATAGTAATCACAACAGCCTGGTACTGGCATACAAACAGGGACACAGATCAAGGGAACAGAATAGAGAGCCCAGAAATAAACCCACACCTTTATGATCAATTAATATCTGACAGAGGAAGCAAGCACACACAACGGGCTAAAGATAGTTTATTCAATAAATGGTGTTGGGAAAATTAGATACATGTCAAAAAATGAAACTAGATCACCTTCTTACACCACACAGAAGAGTAAATTAAAAATGGATCAAAGACTTAAATGTTAGACCCAAAACCATAAAAATCATAGAAGAAAACATAGGCAACAAAATCTTGGATATTGCTGATAGAAATTTTTTATTGGATATATTTTCCCTGACAAGGGAAACAGAAGAAAAAAATTAACAAATGGGGCTACATCACACTAAAAAGTTTTTGCACAGCAAAGGAAGACATCCACAAAATAAAAAGACAGCCCACAAAATGGGGGAACATATCAGTTAATATCCAAAATTTACAAAGTACTTATAAAACTCAACACCAAAAAAAAACAAACAACCTAGTTAAAAATTGGGCAAAGGACCTTGATAGACACTTCTCCAAAGAGGACAAAGAAATGGCCAATTTCTTTGGCCATATGAAAAGACATATGAAAAGACATATGAAAAGATGCTCAATGTCACTAATCATAAGAGTAATGCAAATTAAACAACAATGAGATATTTCACACCTGTCAGAATGGCTATCATCAATAAATCAACAAACAAGTGTTAGTGAGGATGTGGAGAAAGGGGAACCCTTTTGTACTGTTGGTAGGAATGCAGACTGGTGTGGCATCTGTGGAAAGCAGTGTGGAGAGAGCTCAGAAAATTAAAAATGGATCTGCCTTTTGACCCAGCAATCCCATTTTTGGGAATATATCCAAAGGAACCCAAAACACTGCTTCAGAAGAACATAAGCACCACTATGTTGATTGCAATGTTATTTACAATTGCTGAGATATGGAAGAAGCCCAAATGTCCATATATAGATGAGTGGATAAAACAACTATGAGACATTTGCACAATGAAATACTACTCGTCCATAAGAAAAATGAAAATTTTACCCTTTGCAACAGTAAGGGTGGAGCTGGAGAACATTATGATAAGTGAAATAAGCCAGTCAGAGAAAGACAAATACCATATGATTTTACTCATATGTGGAATCTAATGGACAAACTGAACTAACAAGCAAAATAGAGACAGACTCCTAAGATGGAGAGCGGGTGACAGCTATTGCAGTGGGGTAGTTAGGGGGTGGAAGGATTGAGGAAACAGTACAAAGGACTCATGGACATGGACAACAGTGTGTGGATTGCTGGGGGGAGGAGGGTAACAGGGATTAAATGGTAATAAAAAATGCAATAAAAATTAAATTTGAAAAAGAACAGGTCTAAAAATATTATTTATGTCTCAGTCCTGAGTGCCTAAAATCAACTTTAAATTTTTTATGCATAGTTAAACCAAAGCATTTATTATTACCCTATTATCAAACACTCTTCTCCTTCTATAACATTTTTAGGAAAGTGACAATAATACAAAATCCATAATATAGTCTACATAATATAACTAAATGTCTAATATTAATTATTTCATTGGATAACTACCTTTGGGTATTATACCTTTTCTCTTTTTCTGTAATCCTGTTCACTTCTTTTTCTATCCATCCCAGCTTGGTCATTATTCTGCAGATGCTGAGTGCCTGCAGGCACATCATGCTATGTGCCAGGCCGTGGAAACAGTGGTGAACAGACACACCAGGCAGGGTCATCCTGGAGCCTAACAACTACTTGTTCCTTCAGTGCCTTGTTTCTTACCAGCCTCTCAATGACTTCCAAGAAAAAAGGCACTTTCTTGAGTTGGATATCAATACTTTCAAACACAGCAATACCAAGCCTCCCAAATATAAATTCTACTTAAAGGCAGAAACAGTTTGGCTTATAAGAGTATACCTTGAAATTAATAATTTACCAAGCTTTGAAAAGTATTTACAAGGTGAGAATCATTAGGTATGATACAATCTATCACAAGTAGAACCCAGATGAAGACTTTGAGGAATATAAGACACATATATACATACATATTTCTTTTTTCTACTTCTAAGTTACCTTTATTTTTGGAGTTCTTTTAAAATAGAAGTATAATTTACATGTCATAAAATAGATCTTAAGTTTTCAGTTTAACGAATTTTGGTAACTGTATGTGGTTAGAGAATGTGTACCTCTATTAAGAGAGAACATTTCTATCATCCCAGAAATTTCCATTCCCCAATCAATTCCCTCTTTTCCCCACTCCCAGAGACTACCACTGCTCCAAATTCTCTCACCATGGTTTAGGTTTTCTGCCTATTCTTGGACTTTATATAAATAGAATGAGTTAGTATGTACTTGTTGGTTTCTATGTTTTTGATTCATCCATGCTATTGAGTAGATCAGCAATTCATTCCTTTCTCATTCTGAGTAGCATTCCATTATATAGATATGCCACAATTTACTTATCCATTCTACTATTGATGGACATTTGGGTTGTTTCAGTTATTATATAATGCTTCCTATACAGGTCTCTTTGTGTACATTTTTCTTTATTTCTCTTCGGTAGAGACATAGAATGGGGTTCTGAGTCAAAGAATATGTTTATGTTTAACTTTATAAGAAATTGCCAAATAATTCTTAAAAAAGTTGTGCTATTTTACATCTCCATAAGCAATATTTAACAATTCCAGTTGCTCCACATCTTTACCAATGATTTCTTGCCAGTTTTTTTATTAATGATTTCATGAATACTTTACATATTATAAACATAAGTCATAAATTTAAAATATTTATTTGGATATTTTCTCCACATCTCTGAATTTTCTTATCAGTGTTTTCCTAAATCTATTACAATATCCTATTTCTTTTCATGTTTCATCCTCATTTAATTTAGGTTTTTAGAGTAGAAAGGCTAAAATTTTTCTTCATCTATTTAAAAATTGTTACAGCAGTTCTCTGAAAAATGAACACAGGATTCCTTTACTAATTAAATGGAAGAAAGTCCAGGGAACATAAAAAAGAAGGAAGTAAAACTAAAATGTTTTCTATAACACAGGGTTTAAAATATTTTAAAAAAATGAGAATAGAAAGAGATACACAACTGTAAGCAAAGAATAAAGATAAAGTTGTGAGAAAGGATCATGAAAGAGGTGAAGAAGGGGGGAATGATTAATGGAGTCAG